CTGTTTTCACTCAAACTGATTCAAAATCAGTTTGAGTGCAAAATTAAACAAGACTATCTCCAGTTTTTCCAACATGGATAAATGTGAAGATAAAGTCAAGGTAAAAGATTAAGACAAAGAAAAAAACCCTGATTAGAAATCTACGGAAAGATAAAAGGGACATTTTTCTGGCTCTTGCCTGCAACTCATTGAAGAGACCTGATCATCTAACTGGGAAAGATGGATTTGTGCTACAGAATCCTCCAGTGACCTAAAAGAAACCAAAAGATATGTCTAAGTTGTTTACCTCTTTGGGCTTGCTGGAGTCAAGCTTTTCAGCCAAAATTTGCAGCTGCTCTTGTCTAAAGAATCCATAACTCTGGGAATGAAAAAAGAAGCGTCATTACCGACCAAAAAGCAAAAAGAAAATATCTCTAAAAACAGCTTCACTCTGTCTAAAGATTGATTTTCACCTCCGCTCCATGTATGATGGAAAGAAAGAAACTTGTGCAATTAATGTCATCCAGAAATTGGGGCCAGAATAAAACATAAAGGCAATAAATTAATAAAACAAGAGTTTATTGGCATCATTTGTAAGCAGTTTTCTCTAACCCGACTGAAGGACGAGCCACTGTCAGAGCAGTTGTCAGTGAACTGGATGTTGGACTGCCTATGCTGCTTCTCTTGGTGCATCTCCTCCTTTCTCAGCTGGTCCTCCTCAGACTTGTTTTTTAAAGACTCCACAACTGTTATCATGGTGTTTTTTAAGGTGTGTATCATCTGCTGGTACCTGTCATAAAGAGAGAACGTGAATGAGCTAAACCAGGTCAACCCATATGATTGCATGAGTCACAGCAAGCCTAAACATTGCTTTATATGAAACTCAAGTGAAAGGTAAGTACTGCATCAATTTATAGCTGAAAGCAGGGAAATTCAGCGCTGAGATTGGATGGTGCAGTTATCCAATATGGGAAAAAAAAGCAAGAAATATACTGTAAATACAAATGAGATTTATCCACTTTTTAAAATAACTGCCAAACAACTGACAACTTAACTTTAATACCACAAATACATTTGATGGCCTTGGATAGCTTCTTATTAAAGAACATTAATCCAGGGTTTTGACTAAGAATGGGATTATGGGAGATGGCTACACGTGACAGTAAGAATAATAAGTCCTCTTAAAACTGAAATTAAATACAACTAACTAAATCCAACTGCTACTTAAAGTCACCATGAGAGTTCGGTACACCCAGGCTCTAAACAGTAAACCCAAGATGGCACTGACAGGTTCAAAACAGTGGAGTTTAGTTGGCTTATTCAATGTAAAATATAGAGACTGTGGATGAGAAATGAGCTAAGAGCAGAAAGTCAAGTATTTGCTTGTACAAATTTGACAAATTACTATTAAGGACATGTGCAGAGGTTCTTAAGTCCCATTTTCCACTTTCAGTTCTTAACATTTATCTTTTGAATCTCACTAAAACCTCTTTTGAAGTGCCAAAATGTCCCCTGTGTACAAAAACACCGGTGGCAGCTTTATATGAAAATGTAGGACACAGATTTGTACTAGAGCCTCTTCTTGTTTGTGGTGATGGACAGGTTTACAGATGAGGTTGGGCAGGAGTCTCTGTGGACTATGTTGCTCGCAGACAACATTGTGATCTGTATTGAGAGTGGGGAGCAGGTAGAGGAGAGCCTACAGAGACGGAGATGTGCAGTAGAAAGAAGAGGAATGAAAGTCAGCGGTATCAAGACAGAAAAAAAAATGTGTGAGCGAGTGAGGCAAATGGAAAGGTGAATGGCGATGCAAGGAATAGAGGTACTAGAGGCGGGGTTATGATCCAAATCAATGGGGAGTGCACAAAAGAAGGTAAGGAGAGAGTGTGCAGGTAAGGTGGAGTAGGTGGAGAAGAGAATTAAGGTAGCAGCCTTAATAAAAAGGTAGGTTTAGAGTATGAGATGGCAGTAAGACCACTTATGTTGCTCAGATTAGAAAAGGTAGCTAAGAGAAAAGTCAGGAGGTGGAGCTAGAGGTGACAGAGTGAAGGTCATCGACAGGACAGCTGAGGCTGGACAGCTGAGATGGAGCTGAGCGCATGTGTGTGTGGTAGGTGTGGCTCAGGAGGTAAAGTGAGTCACATGCAAATCTGGAGGCTGCTAGCTTGATCGCCTGCCTATACGCTTCCATCAGAGTGTGTGTGCAAATGTTAGAAAGATTTCTGAGTGTCTGTGTGATTACGATTAAAAAGTGCTCAGTTAAAGCAGAAAAGAGTAAAAGGGACCATCTCCTGGGTTTAGGGGCTGATTGCCCCTCTTTAGGCATTGGTGCCTGGACCTGAGCGTATAAAGTGTGTATGGGGAGTGTGTGTACTGCATTCATTTCTGCGTGTCTCCATGTTAGTGAGCGTGTGAGTATTTTTACATGTGTGCATGAGGGTGGGAATGCATGCTTGTGTCTGTGTGTGCCTGTTTGTTTGTGTATCAGGTCAGGTGTGGGGGCCTATTTTGCCCTGCCACATGCCCTGCCAGTGGCTGGTGCCCCCACCCACTGATGCATTGGTGATTCTTGTGGGGGGCAGGGCTGTGGTGTCCCACACAAACACTAGACATTTCCATGAAGACACCTTTTGAACACAAGCGTGCTCATGCACACAGGTGTACAAACAGATACTCACAGACACACTATTGTAGTTGGCTGCTGCCTCTAAAAATATCTTGTATTATTAGTACTGTGTGCTGTTCAGTAAAATGTATTATTCATTATTTACTGTTATTTATGCATATGTTAGCTGTTGCTGTGGTTTCTCTGCTGTGTTATTTTTTTCCCTCACCAGGTCTTGAAGCAGATTCTCAGTGTTTTTTCTCTCTCTATCCCTCTTCTTCTCCTCATTTTTTCTCTCCCTATCCTTCTCCATAACTTTCTCCTCAACTTCTTTCGTCTTTTCCTTTTCCGTCCACCGGTCTTCTTCGTTATGATTGTAATAAATCAAAATAAAATATCCTAATAAAATCCTAATAAAATATGACTATCAAGTAAAGTGGACCATTATAGCAAATGCTGTAATGGTCCAGTTGGGAAAGTAAATTTGTTGGGCATTCATTGACCTTCAGACAACAATTCTGATTGCCTCACTACTGGACAGGATGCAGGGGCAAAAATGAATTTAAAAAATAAATACAAAGCAGAAAAGCAGTATAGAAGTACCAGACCATTTACCCAGTGGGATAGTGAATTTATTGGGAAAATGATGTTGAAGATGGAGAAGGCAGTCAATGCAATTCTATTTTAAGAGGAATTTCATGGCAGTAAGGGAGGATATATAGATGGCTGGTATCAGGGAAGTGATACGGTGAGATGGAGGCAGATTTTCTGTGGCGACCCTAAAAGGTGCAGCCAAAAGAAAAAAACAAAGTTTTGCATTTGAAATTCTTTTTAGTAAGAAGGTTGAGTTCTGGAGTTTTCCAGCATATCCAAAAGTAAGTATGGAGGGTCAATGAAGTAGGTTTGAAACACAATAAACATGATGAATACGGGCCAATAGAAAAAGATGCTAAAGATATTCAGAGACACTCACTCAGCTGAGTATCTAGTCCTTTGTGTCACAGCGTGAATCAGAGTGTCGTGTCCCGAGCCAATTGCATGTTGTCCATCTTCTCTGGTCAAGTTGTTAGTTTCCTCTTCAACCACAGATCCTAAAGCGTTCTCCACATATTGACGGAGGTACTTCACAAACTCATAACTGAAAGAAGAGAAGTAACCAAGTCACACCTATACTGTAAATATATACTAAAAACAACACATACCCATAGAAACATAACAAAGCCTATTTTATTAGATCCAATCATTAAATTTAATGCTATGGTGTTTGATGATGGACTCACTTGTGAAAGTTCTTGTCAGTCTCCTCTAGGTGAAGAAGGATCTCTTCAGCACATTCAGGTGAAGGAGCACTAGAGATCTTGTCACTGATGCTTCTCAGAAACTGCTTAACCAAGGACTGCAACTCCACCTCATCCTCAGCAAACAACTCAGACATCTCTGCTACTGCTGTGTCAAAAACAAAAGGTTTTAATTCAGAGGGATTTCTAAGAGACTAAAGGAGGCATTTTTCTTTCCATTCGCTAAAGCATAAAATACACATTTGCTCATCTGATGGCGAAAAATAACAGGAAACTATATAAACTAATACTCTGTAAGGTAGCAGATTACGTTACTTAACAACAGACGAACCAAAACGTGGTCATGTGTATATGTCTACCTCCAGCACGTTACTAAAACGTACATCCTTTATCATTATCCCCTTCTCGGTTTCATTTAGTGAAGAGGAAAGAATTTCATCACCAACAGGTTTGAAAATTGGCAACCTATCTGGAAAAACAGGCGATCCCAGCAATGATGACAGTGTACACCACGTAAATGTGTGATTAAATGTAAAATAACGGTACAATCAATTTGATTTTGTCCTGCAATCCAAAGGTTTAATTCTGCTGCTAACAACAATGAATATGTCCCTTCTCTTGTTAGCTTGACGCTGCCATTATTGAAACACTGCTAGCTGAAAAACAAAAGTGCCAAAATTAAACTAAAACAGAAGCTGGACTAAAAAGCAACGAAGGCAAACGAAAACCTTCACGCACAGAGCTTTTTAAATCAGTCACCTTGTCTTTGTGCATATAAAAGAGCTTCATCGAGCTAGCGCTTTGCCATCCACAACTGTATCTCTATGGAAACGTCCAGTGTTAACTGTGGTGCATTGTGGGAGACCCCCGTATGGTATCTCCACGGTAATCGGAATTTGGCTTTCATAATAAAAATCTGGATATTTAGGATGCCTTTGGGTTAATTTTAGAGTTTATACTTGCTTTTATTGTTTGTCATGTGATAATTAAAGAATATTTCAACCTTATTGAATATGTTTAAAAATCATTCAACATGAGGTGAAAGTATTTAGACGGATTTTCTGTTACGGTTTTGAATGCAGCACTGCTGTACTACACTGTCACATGACCCAATGTTTTGCTGCTTTCACCGGGTGTAGCAGAGGAGACATACCTGCTTCTTAAACGACAATTCTTACAGCTTTTATTAGTAATTTTACTATGTAGGGTTAGTTGTAGCTTCCATTTACACGTCTGAAGTATTCGTTAACCTAATCACGTACAGGTCCCAGCGTTATATCACCGAATAAGCTTTAGTTAGCAAATTATCTCAGCAACACCAGCGTGGGCTATGGCGGCGGTTGACAGCTTTCAGTTTTTGTACAGAGAAATTTCTCGTTCGTGCAACTCTTACTTTGAAACCCTGGCGCTGGTCGGTGCTCTGTACACGGCCAGCAGGGCAGTGATCCTGCTGAGCGACTGCTGCACGTTGGTTAGGGTGCATTTTCTGCCCAGATTGATCCCAAGTAAGAAGCTGACCCAGAGATATGGTGACTGGGCTGTCGTTTATGGTAAGGATGGGCCGCAGCAGAGTTAATTTCAGTTATATCTTAATTGAAGTAAACTCTATTTCATTAATTTATTTCATTAAATTCATATTTTCACATTCATATTTCATGAATCTATTTCATTAACAATAGCCAAAGTCAACGGGAGTATATACAGAATGCAGTTTTTAAATCAGGGTTGCATGTATGAAGGGGAGACAAGCTATCCAAACCTACCTTGCGTTTGTGAAAAAGAAAATTGGCCCTTAAACCCAATAACTGGTTGTGCCCCCCTTAACACCAAGAAGTACCATCTACCAGTGATAACTGGCAATGAGTCTTTCACATCACTTTGGAGGAATTTTGGGTCACTCTTTGTTGCAGAATTGTATTAATTCAGCCACAGTGGAGAGTTTTCCAGCATGAGCGGCCTGTTTAAGGTCTTTGACTAGGCCCTTTCAAAACCTTTATGGGATGGACTTGCTGGTGTTTTGGATCATTGTTCTGCTGTATAACCCAAGTGTGCTTGAGCTTCAGGGTACGAACTGATGACCAGATACTTTACATAATACAGTAATGTCCTAAATCATCTTTTAAAGGCTGCATTTTAAATTTACTTTGGTTATCTTTCTCTAATATTAAAATTTGTTTGATGATGATGATGAAACATTTAAATGTGACAACATATGCAAAAAGCTTAGTAATCAGGAAGGGGACAAAACCTTTTTCACAGCACTGTAACTGGTTCAATGTCTATAATGTTGCTGCAAACCTTTTTGTTCTTTCTGGCATGACTTTGTCATCTCTCCTGTCAGGTGCATCAGAGCCTGTAGCCAAAGCATACGCAGAGGAGCTGGCCAGGCATGCCATTAGCATCATCTTTGTCACTCGGGACCCCTCCTCTGTTAGAGACATGAGTGCATACCTCTCCCAGAATTATGGAGTGGAAACTCTTGTGGTCTCAGCTGACTTCTCCCTGGACCAAGTGGCCTGCAAGCCCATCAAAGAAGCATTGAGGGGTAAAGATATTGGCTTCCTGGTAAACTGTGTCGATGAATCTTTGGCTTCACCCCAGAGCCTGATTGAAGTGCCCGAACAGCACCTCTTGGATTTGGTGAATAGGAACATTGCAGTCACTACTCTGATGACCCGATTGGTTCTGCCGGGGATGGTGGATCGCAGCAGAGGTGCCGTGGTCAATATATCATCGGGTGCCTGCTGCAGACCTCTTCTTGGAAGAGTGACGCTCACCGCCTCCACTGTGAGACAAATCACTGTTACAGTCTGCAGGCATGGAGACGTGCCAGTAAAACATATCTATAGCCTGTATAGATCCTTTGTAATATGATGAAGAGCACATTGATGTCTCTGATCAATTTGAAGATCTGTTGTTACTACTGTCCCCTTAAAGTATTGATTTGTGGCAAGTAGATCCACTGCTGGTGGGTGTGGATGACCTGCAGAAAAATATGTTGTAAAACTAAGCTGAACAAACAGGATTTATGCAAAATAAGTTTTAGTCTTCTGTTTTCAGTTTTGAACCTTGATTGTTTGTTAATGGTTGATTAAAAATGTAACTTTTTTTAGTATGTAAAGTAGTGTCGGCCAGAAAAAGGTTTGAGAATCAGCAGAGTGAGCCACTCTTTAAAGTAAATTATGTAGGATTTTGAACTGTCATCTCCATTTCTTCTGTGTGCTGGCTATAGTCCCAGTCACAACAACATTATTTTTTCCTGACAACAGCAACCTCTCCTCTGACATTTCAGGGATACCTGGATCATTTGTCAAGAGCTCTTCACCTTGAGTACAACAGCAAAGGCATATTCATTCAGAGTCTGATCCCCTTCCAGGTAAATATCTTAACAGTAGCTGTTCTGTAAGACCTGAAATCTGGCAGCAAAAGTCTGGCTGGATCCACAATCCCCACTGCTATTACTCTGATAGATGCTAATGTATGGCTTGTCGTGTTTGCACGTCATGTATGAAATTGGCTATCAAACTAGGGAGATCGATGAAATCAAGCTGCTTAACTTCATCTTTGTCCATGTCCATTTAGATAGCCTCAAGTGAGCAGCAGCCATCATCTTCATCACCATCACGAAGAGAAGGCTGGTTTGTACCAAAGCCAGAAGTTTATGCTCGCCATGCCATCTCCACTCTGGGAGTCTCAAACAGGACCACAGGATATTGGCCTCATACCCTGCAGGTCAGTCTAAATGAAGTCATGTCATCAGTTTTTATTTTGACAGCATCACAGAAAATGTAAAAAAAAAAACTCTGAGTGAGATGATCTCTGATACTGTTAAAGCTTTTGTGAAACCAGAATTGAAAACATTAAATACTTTTTCCATATCCTGTTCTCTTCTCTTTTTGTCTTCGCAGTACGGATTGATGAGATGCATTCCAGAGTGGATCTGGGTTCTTGGATCACGAGTGCTCATTAGCTCAAACTAAGAGCTTAATCTAACGCACTGGGTCTTGTTGTTACACGAATCTTGTTGCATTCCAGCTTCTTCTGCTATTAAATCTGTTGAACTTTGATGCTCTGATGAGGCTGACACTACCGTTTTCCTTCTATTGATTGGGTATTAGTTAATAAAGAACCTGCAGTGGAATTCATCTAAATTGATGAGTAAACGTACAAACATTTTTTCAACATTGCTCCTGCATTACTAGATTATGGTCTGATGAATCTGTGACATCCAGCGTTTACTTTGAAGCCAGACAACCTTAATTATTTCCAGACCGGTGTTTGGGTTAGATTTACAAGCTTGTCAATTATTATTGGAGCCTAACAATAAGACTTTGTTTGGTCTTGTGCACAGAAACCATTTTATACGAGTCTCCATTCAGTTTGCAGTGAAACTCATTTTACCTCCTGTGTATCTTCAAAAACACTTCAGTGGAAGAGAACATTGTGTATAAGTGCAGACAATATCAAAAGCCTCACCTTAAATGTGAGACAAATAAGAGCAATATAAAACAAACACAGCCGAAGTGAAACGAGTATAAACAAATTCACTAAATACACAAGTCTAAGTTTAAGACGTTAGGCTTGATTTAGATTTAAGAATACATTTAAGAAAATATTTTGACTTGCACTGTGATAAGTTTTGCTTTTATCTGCTATTAATCTACATCCCATGTGACTTCATTCTAACCAAAAACTTTTTGCTCTGACCACGCCCATCTGACACATACACAGAGCCAAAAACAAAAATAACAGGCTAATAATATGTGATAGACTTTTCATCAATGTGTTTGTGTAAAAAAGCTGTACGGGAAACCTCATCCAGATGCTACAAACATGTTTGTTGAAAGTAAAAAAAATTGTTTATATTTCAACTCATTCTCGCACTGAGATTGTATCCTCGGCTTCTTTGATTTGCTGGTCTAATCAAACAAAGAGTCTAAATGTCAAGCTTTCTACAATACAGTGTGGTGTTTATCTGCTGCAAAAAATATATATATAAGTGTTTACATACAGATAAATGTGTGACGAGTGAATGAAGTGTGATATTCAAGCATCTCCAATTTAAAGGTGTATTGAAGTTTATGGTATTTTATTTTATTAAGAAACTATATTTAAGACATTTGATATGAGAGCATTTTGCTTAAAGTGGACGTGTTATGCTAATTTCCATCTCGTTACTGATTCAACCACTTTTAACTCCTCATTTCAAGCCAACTAATTGGCTGTCCCTCACAAACACAAGATTTGAACAGCAGGTGGGTTAGAATGAATAACCTAAACTATTACAGCACATATATGAGAAAACGAATGTGAAAAAGTATAATAGGTCTGCTTTAGTTAATCATTTGTGTGATATTTGAACACATTGAGATTATTTATGTTAATTGATTGCTGGAATGTGAAATACGTGTGTTATTGTAGCACATAATCAGACCAATAAAACTCCTCCATTCCAACTTTACTTGTGACGTTGTTTTCATATGTGTACTGTAACTTTTGTCTTTTATGTTGAACCATATTTTTATAAAACCTGAGCCCTCTGCCTTACTTGTGCATGTTTGTATTCTCTGATACAATGACTGATCAATAAGGTGAAGGCTAGGCTTTGTTTTTCTCTTTAAAGTGTAAGTACGGAGTAAATTATTTACAGAGCAGAGACGATGCAGGCTTCCAGAGTTCAGTCTGTAAACCCCACAGATGACCTGGGTCAGAGTAAACCTTAGAGGAAACTTGTAAACCTCATGAACGCGCAGTGTGTTAGTTTGTAGTAAACAGACACGGTGCTGTGCAAACCCTTCTTTGGTAGGATTTAAATATGACGCCAGAGTCTGAATACTGTGCTGGTGAAAAAACGAACATTTGCTTGAGCAAAAATACTATAAGCAACAGCAAAAAAAAACCTCATACAGCTAAGTCTAGGTAAAAGGTCATTCCTTCAGAGAGGTTATCAAGTTTTTTTTCCAGTTTCTCGTGTGCAATTTTTCACAGTTGGGGCAATAATTTGAAAAAGACCACATGGATTATGGACATTAGTGAAATACTGACAGGAAAGCTAACAAAAATGGATACATTTAAACACTGTTGATTTTGAGAAAATGTTTCACTTGTGTAAGAAAAAGCGTAGGAAGCTCTGAAAGATTCATTTAAGGGACTTTTACATATGATTCAATTCTTAATTTTGGTTTTCAGCAAACCGCATTATTCACACCGTTTTCCTGAAGTGTCAGTCATGCTTACGAGCTTCTGCATTAGTTCATCTCCTGAATCTTCCTTTATTTCCCAATATTAAAAAGAATTAGAAAACGTACAGCAGACAATCACGTTCTCTTTTCACTGTCCAACAAAGCTGAAATGCAACAAAAATGAAATTATATTATAAACCAATGACTGGTTACACTTCAGCAAAACGTCTGAATTGTTGTTAGGACAAGGAGTTGCTGTTGTGGTTAGGATGGTGTCCTTCCAGATAAGTCGCTGAATGAACAATAAAACAAGGACAGCTTCTTCTTCACTTTCTCTTCTCCTCATCTTCTTGAGGTACTGCTCTCTTCAGCCACCTTTTCTTCTCAATTTTTCAGTTTGGTCAGCTGGTAAGTTGATTTTTATATACAGATGCAGTCTATCTCTGATTTCACCATTCAAGAAAGAAAGAAAATCAGTGATAATGATGCACATGTTGTAGAAAAATAATAGTTTATGGACTGATGTTGGAGTATGTCTCTGTTATGACTTGGGTTTTATTTGTACCATTATGCAAGGATAACTGCGTTTCATCATTGAATTTTATTTAATGGTTGTTGTTATGAGACACTGAGTGTAAGTAAGCATGCAAATGTGGATCAGAGCTGGCAAAGGCAAAACTTCAAGCCAGCTGCAAAAAATCATGTATTTAGAGTAATTTAAAATCCAAAGATAGTGCAATGTGGGCTAGAAAAGCCACAGAAGCGTCACCGAATGTTGCGTGAAACAGTATCAGCTTTAAAATCATCATCTAAAATGAACTCTGCAAAAACTTTCTTTATGAACAGTTTAAGCTCAGTTTCTGGAATTCTTTGAATTATGCTTGGCGGCGGTTGGCGGTAACCAAGGCTAAGGTTTCAGTGTCCAGCAGATAAGTATGTTTTGGAGACTTGAAATCAGCAGCCGTGGCCTCTATCTGCACAGTCACAAGGCTGCAAGAAGTGATAAAAAGTTGGCCTTGTGAGTGAGGCTGTCTGTTTTGACCTTAACAACTGCAAGTCAGGTTACAAACTACTCTCTCTAATAATATATACACATCTGAGATCACCCACGTATCCCTTCAGAAATGACTGCCTTCGACTGCTGTGTCTATCTGCCTCCGTGTTTATTTCATCTGTACCTTCTTTAACAGAAGCAGGACAGCTGGTGATTGAAATGGGTGAATGGGATCTACTGGGCCACTTGCTGGATAAAGTGCAGAGCCACTCCACCGTGATCGGCAAAGTGTGGCTCACGGTGCTCTTTATCTTCCGCATCATGGTCCTGCAAACTGGTGCTGAGAAGGTTTGGTGCTGTTTTTATAGGACATATCTGAGTGAAAAGCAGGATTATAGCTTTATGGTGTTTTTTTTTTTTAAATAACATTTTTAATTTTCCTCTGATCTCATTCAGGTTTGGGGAGACGAACAGTCTGACTTTGTGTGCAACACTCAGCAACCCGGCTGTGAGAACGTTTGCTATGACCTGGCCTTCCCCATCTCTCACGTGCGCTTTTGGATTCTTCAGATTATTGCAATAGCGACTCCAAAGCTGTTATATCTCGGTCACGTCCTTCATGTTATCCACATTGAAAAGAAGGTGTGTCGCTGCAGTACGTGCAGTACAGTTGTATCACTGGGTTTTGTCATGCATGCCACACCTATAAGGGAGTGGCAAATGCATGGAAGAGAAGATCATTTTAGCACCCTTTATGGGAAGTTAATTTGCGCCATCGTTAGCATTAATGTTTATCACTTAAAGAGGAAGCTTAAGACTGCGTCATTATTTTTCACCCCAGACATAACAGCTTTTATTCTTTCCACCTTATGAGTATGTCTATTTATGTGTGCTTTAACATGGCAACATTATTTGGAATAAAGCCCTGGGACACCAACACATTTTGACTACAGGAGCTGCTCCATGCCATGAAGCTCCTGGCACACAGTTTTTGCAATATTAATGCCAGAGGTTTGAACAGCTCCAGGTTTGAAGCTCTGTAGTTATCGAGTAAGTGAAAGTGTTGGTGACTTATTGCTGAGTCTGTGTTTCTATTTTGCAAGAATACGGAAAGGGAAGACGTTTCATCAACTGGCTTGTTGCAACAGTAGTATACTGTTACAGTTACACTTGAATTCAGTGATCTCTTTAGAATGACAAAGGTTTGTAAAGGCAGACTACATGGCTGGGTGGTTGAATTTATACACCTGTGGCAATTGGAGTGAAAATTCAAACATTAAGAGGTGTGGTCCAGTGCTTTTGTCCATATTTCCGGTTTCCATTAGAGTAAATAACTTGCTAATAAAGACCTGGACACTTTTGCAGGCTAACCAAGTCAAACATAAACCAAACTTACAATGTAACATTTGCTGGTAATGTGCAGCTAGTAGACTCAAGTCTCCAAAGCTTTTGTTTTGGCTGAAAGAAGGAACCTGCAAGGGGCTTATATTACAAGCCCTGCTGGAAATGATCCAGTGTAAACACAACATTTGATTTCATGTTTTCTTCACCTTGGTGGCCAAACATTCATGGGACTGGGTGGCAGTGCTAGAGTCTATCCCAGCTACCTTAGGATGAGAGGTGGGGTGCACTCTGGATGGGGCAGCATGATGGCGCAGTGTTGCCTGAAAGCACAAAGGTCCTGAGTTCAGTTCCAGCATCAGGCCAGGCCTGTGACGTGTGTGAGTTTGCATGTTCTCCCTGTTTTCGCATGAGGTCTGGCTTCCTCCCACAGTCCAAAGACATGTACTTAGTGGGGTTAGGTTAATTGATGATTCCAAATTGCCTATAGGTGTGAATAGCTTTCTGTCTCCATATGTTAGCCTAGCGACCTGCCCCGGGTGGACATCTGGGGCAAGCTCCAGGCCCCCACCCCCACAACCCTGAATTGGAAGCGGAAGACAATGAATTGATAGTCAAACCATTTCTTGATGGCTTAACAAGTAGTTTTCTTAGCAGGACAAATCTCTAGTGCTAGTTTAAAGAAACAAAAAAGCTTCTCAGTGCTTCTCCAACGCACATTATTAGCTGTTCCACCATATGCTAACATTGCTCTGATATTTTATATTGTGCTCATACATTTAGCCAAAATGTTAATGAAAACACAGCTTGGAACAGTGTGGCAGTTTGGAGTAACTGTTAAGCCATATTTTGGCAGAACATTTTGGAACTGCCAGAATTAAGGTTTATCTGTTTCCTGGAAAATGTCTAACTCTGTGTTCTTGCTTTCCTAATCCAAGATGAAGGAAAGGATGAAGAAGCAGGAAGAGCTGGATGACCAAACCAATCTGCTCCTTAGGAGGGCCTATAAAGTTCCCAAGTACACCAAAAACAGCGGCAAGATCAGCATCCGTGGCCGCCTCCTGCGCAGTTACGTCCTCCATCTCCTGGCCAAGATTGCCCTCGAGGTTCTGTTTATCGTGGGTCAGTACCTTCTCTATGGTTTCTCCCTACAGACACGCTATGTCTGCACCCGCTTCCCCTGCCCGCACAAGGTGGACTGTTTCCTGTCCAGGCCCACAGAGAAGTCGGTCATCATCTGGTTCATGCTGGTGGCGGCTTGTGTCTCCCTCGTCCTCAGCCTGGTGGAGCTGTTCTATCTGTGTGTGAAAGCTGTGAAGGAATGCATGGCGAGGAGACAGGACTACACTGTGACCCCAGTGACTCCTCCACCCTCAGAAAGGAAGGCTTTTAAAAACCGGGACGAGATGATTCAGAATTATGTCAACCTGGAGCTGGAGCTGCAAGGACGAAAGTTAGGGGTGAACGGCATCACAAGTGGAGTCAGTGAGGCTCCTAGAAATGGATCACCTGAGAACAACAACATGGGGGAGATCCACATCTGACGTATAAGCCCAGCAATAGGTTGCATATGCGGTTCCTGGCAGTATTTGTATGCTCTGGAGGCTTTGGAGATGTGTGTTTGTGTGTGCACTAAATAGAGCAGGTGGGAGGGAAATGGCCAGCTTCTGCAAACAAGACTCAGTCACATGCAAAGGGCTGCAGAAAATGACATTTTTTTCACAATAGTCAACTGGAGTTTACTGTTAATACATTACATGATTACAGTGAACTGCTTTCCACTTTTGATACCTTTAATAATGTTTAATACTGATTCAATAAACCTTCAATAAAGACCCAGATGTGACTGAAATGTAACTGTCCTGTTCTTATGCTATGAACCACCCTGTATGTAAAAGTAATGGAACAAACATAATAAATGTTCAAATAATTTTTATGTGCAGTGTCCCGTACAATAATTTCCTCAATTTAAAATGAACAAAACCTCCATTCATCAATTTTCTCAATCACTTATCTAGCTTAGCATCATGGGTAGCTGGCGTTTTTTCACACTGTCATGAGATAAGAGGTGGCGTTGCACTCTGGAGAGGTTGCCAGTTCTTACAAAGATACATAAACACAATATTAACATTTGCTTTTTTGTTGTTGTTTTTTTTTTTAGTTAATTTTTTTTAATTAAAACTGGACCGTTAATGTATAATTGTGTATATGGAGTAGCAGTTGTGTAATGCTTACAAAACTGATGAAATCTGGATCTGGATAATGACCTAAAATATATTAACCCTGTAAAGCCGGAAAATTCAATTTTTTTTGAAAACTTAGTGTTTATTGAATCTAATGAAAAAAATATATGCAATTTATTCTTTAAAATGTAATGGACAATTTCTTTTGTATTTGGTAGTTAGTTCAGTGTCTTTATTTGCACATCTGAACTATCGGCTCTGCGATTAATAGGCAGTTTCCTTTACTGCCTGAGCCACAGCAGCCACATTTGTTGTTAATAGAAACAGAACAGAAAAATGTACAATTATATGAAACAGAAAAAAGATTAGAGCTAAGCTATCTCTGCCTAAACTTAACAAAACTTCATTTACTACCACTTAGCTTTAGCTTAGCTTTTGACCTGCATAAGAAACAGTAACAGTTTTTCTAATCCCACAAATTATGACTAATTTCCTGGTTGCAGGGCGTGATGTTTTGATGATTCTGGCAGGAAACAGCTGGTTATAAATGTTACTGTGAGTCACAAAACTTACCAGTTCATCTACTTGAACCTTATCTACAGTCTCATCAGACACAATTCTGACTAAATCAACAAATGTTTTAGCAAGGTGCGCGAATTCCAATCTAGCCTCCCAACTGGGAATTACACAGTATTTCATCATCCATGTGCATAGTTCTCATTTGTGTGTGAAATACACAAATAAATGAAATTGATAAATACATATATTTTGAACACATGCACCTTATTTTCAACTTCCAGTGCTATTTTAAAGTGACATCTCTTGCTCGCCGACTGTGCAGCTGAAAGAAGACCTTCTTCTCTTCTGACACATTTATGATTAATGGTTTCACATAGAGTGCAAATTTCAAACTAGCCTCCCAATTCAGACTAATACAGTTACTCATCATGCTACTCCTCCTCTCCTCATTTGTATATAACACACACAAAAAATGTAAATGCATGAAAACACACACACAGACACACACACACATTCCTATTTTATTTATTTTCAAACTTTAGTGGCGGTTCGCTGACACAACTGAACTGAACACTTGTCAATTATTACACCCGCTGCCCTCTTGGTCTGGTGTTTCTTAAACTTTTCCTGCTCTTGTTAGCTCACAGATGTGTGTTGCGTAACTCAGCCGCTGATCAGAGCACAGAAATCCAAGGTCCAACTATAGCTGGTGATCTTTCTCAACGAGACTCAGTCCTCTCTGAGCAGATCAACAGGTAAGATGTAACAGTTTCTCTTCTCTGCTTCAGATAACCGATCATTTTATCAATTAGAGAAAATTGTTATTATATTGGAATTTTTCGAGAAAGACATTAAACAGGACACTAAAGATTCATTTCTTACTTTATCGTAAGTACATCGCTGGTTGTTAATTTAGTTTCCAGTTATAATTACTATTTTTTGACTACATTAACAGCATCAGATTTCTTTGTTAATTTTATTTATGGTATAGTTTTAATCATATTATAGCTTAATTTTCTGCATGCATAAACATTTTCATGTACTTATTTTAAAAAAACATTTTTTAAGGTTTTTTTTTTTCACTTTTACTCATTTGTCTGATGACACTGAGTCTCTTGTTCTTCCGTTTTCTAATGATTAATGATTATGTGTGGAAAATATTGATCCAAAAGCTCAAGGGTCAGAATACTGTAATTTCTTCTTCCTTCTCAGGTTTTAGGAGATAAAATGATCTATCTAAAGAGCTGTAAGCTCTTTTCATTCACCAGCAGTTTATTGATTAAAGAATAAGTTGTAGTTAATGTTTCGGAAATAAGGTGTGGTGTTATGTCTTTACAACGTTTGCCTTCTTTTTTCAGAAATAGAGGCTAAACACTGTCATTAAAGATGGGAGACTGGGGGTTTCTGTCAACCTTGCTGGAAAAAGTCCAGTCACACTCCACTGTGATTGGCAAGATCTGGATGAGCGTCCTCTTCCTGTTCAGAATCATGGTTTTGGGTGCAGGTGCTGAAAGCGTCTGGGGAGATGAGCAGTCAGATTTCGTCTGCAACACTCAGCAACCTGGTTGTGAGAATGTGTGCTACGACCATACTTTCCCCATCTCGCACATTCGTTTCTGGGTGCTCCAAATCATCTTTGTCTCCACGCCAACACTCATCTATCTGGGCCACGCCATGCACATCATCCACAAGGAGAACAAGCTGAGGGAGCTGCTCTCCAGCCCTGGTGGCACCCAGTGCAAAAGGCCCAAATACACAGATGAAAGGGGGAAGGTGCAAATCAAGGGGAATCTACTGGGGAGCTATCTGACCCAGCTTGCAGTCAAGATAGTTATTGAGGCCGGCTTCATTGTGGGACAATACTATTTGTACGGCTTCGTCATGGTCCCCATGTTCCCCTGTTCTAGAAAGCCCTGCCCCTTCACTGTTGAGTGCTACATGTCTCGACCCACAGAGAAAACCATCTTCATTATTTTCATGCTGGTGGTGGCCTGTGTTTCTCTGGTTCTGAACGTCATTGAGATGTTCTACCTGATTTGCAAAAGGGTCAGGTGTAGACGTCGCCCTCATAAGTTTACCTCTCCAGAATATCCTGTTAGCCTCTCAGGTCCAAGGTGGCCAACTGCAGAGGACGCCCTCAAGCAGAACAGGATGAATGCAGATCTTGAAGCCAGCCACAGTGTTGCAGGGAGCTTGGATGGGGCCAAGGATGAGAAACGACTCCTGAGCGGTCATTAAAAACCACGTCTGTGACAATTAAAATGTATTATCTTGCTCGGTGTCTGCATTCAGATACATCCAAGGGACTGAAAGACAATAGAAAAGCTTTGTCAAAGTCTTCACAGAATACATTGTTGTATTTTTACTTATATATTCTTCTGGCATTTGCTTCCATTTCTTTGTATATGCCTGAAAATCTATTACTAAAAGGTGCAATACCAACATATTTATATTATACGAGCAAACTTTAGCTGCCAGTTCTATACTGCAAATCATCAAATACAGCAATTTAGTGTAAAGTAGATTATAGCAGGAAAACTGTCAACTGAACAGTAACCTACTAGTAATCCTGCCATCAGTATTCTGCTGACAACATAAAAAAAATTGCAATGGTTTAATGAGAAAAACTGTCTGTATGCCCGGTCATGTTCTCTAAGTTATTGTCTTGTTCATTTTCTATGAGTTGATTTACCTACTGGAAGATAAAAATGATGTTGTTTGTTACGTGTAAGCAGCTTTTTTGTATGCTTATTTGTTTGAAATAAATGACTTGAACTTGAAGAAACATTGCTTCTATCAGTCTCTTGTCTTTAGATGTTCACACTTTTCAGTTCATAAGCCCTTATTTTGAAAAACCATGATTTACACACATTTTGTGTGACTTTATATCTACAACTAATAATTACTTTCATCATTCATTAGTTCTTTAGTTTTAGTTTTTCTAGTTTCAAGTTTTATTGTCATGTACAGATAAACAGTGTAGCCACATTTACCCATAATGAATTTTTGGCTTGTGCTCCTCAGCTTTACATGAGCGTATAGAAGTGTGCAGTTAAATTAAGAAGAAAATAACAGAAAATAGCGGTAATAATAATGATAAAGAGAAAAAAAGAGAAAAAAGTATTCAAAATCTAGAGAATTTAAGACAAGTAGTATTTACAGTTTGTGCAAAACTAGTGCAATGAGCATTTAAGTGGCATTAGTTGAAGTGACAGTGTGTAGAAACTGGCAAATAACAACAGTCAAAGCCTCACAGAGCTGATAATAGTAATAATAGCTGATAGTTTTGTTTAACATATTTTGAAATGCAATAATTTTACATTTAGCTAAACTTATGTAAATAATTGTTTAATACAAGGTTGTTACATATGAATCATGTGGCGACTGACAAATCTTTTCATCTATAATCTGGTATTTCTTCAGAATGGGGTGCGGCTGTTAGGTTGACTGGTAATCGATCCGGCTATTCTTTCAAAGTTTATCTAAAGACAATGAGAACAT